ATCTTTCCGGTCTGGAAAGAAAAAAATATGGAAATCATTATTTTACAACTGCAACGCTGGAACACAAATTAAAGTATAATAAACACTGCTCCTAAAGAAAATCATTTCCTTCATCAAGATCTTTCGTCTATTTAAATGCATTATAACATTTTAAGCCATTACACATCTTCAATGCATTATTTTATACAATAAATACAAATGAAAATTTGTTTACTGCAAAGCTCTGTTGAGGAGTTGTAACTGCAGTTAAAGATATATTTTATCTCAATCCTACAACTGACCTCTTCTTAGAATGAGTCTCAGAAGGAAAATAATATCATAGTATTTATGGAACACAGTTGTTAACTTTAGTCTTGAGAAACAATAGCCAAGCATTAAATATTTTCCGATTACAGGGCATTGTGAAATAAAAAAATGTAATAAGGTAACCTTTCGAAAATTCTATGATGCAGAAATGAGGTAATTAAAGGAACACTGGGATTTAGCCATAAAATTGCTAATGAGAATACGAATATCTTAATGTAAGACGGAAATGTTGAGCGGAAATATGAAAACCCAGCTCAACACTAAAATTATTTAATGTATTCACTTTAATTCGTGTCGAAGCAGAGGAAATAGAGTCAAAAAATAATCTACCAGATTCTGTGTGGAACAAAAGAAAAGCTTGCAAATTTTTTTTTAACTGTAGCACTAGTTTGGCATAGGTCTCTTTATCCACTTTTTAGAGGTACAAACAAGTTTATAAGAATATATCAATTATTAACCCAAAGAAGCTAAATAGTTTTATCAACTATATTTACAAGTAATACAATTGGCAATTTGAAATAATGAAAATAATATTTACCACTTATGAAAGTTGATTTGAAATATAAAATAAATATATGAAGATGAAATAGATCACAATTTCACAGATTATTCGGGCCAAAACAAAACACAAATGTCCATTCAGAAACAAGCCTGATAAATCGAATTTAGGTTAAAACATTAATTTTATTTTAACAATTTTCAATAAAATTCAAATTGAGTATTATGTACTTAATAAAGTACAAATAATCCGCATGTCCCTCCTAACCATTTTATAAAGCCATAGTATAGTTGCCAAGTATTAAAAAACATATTTTAAATCTAAATCTAAAGGTGTTACAACAAAGGTTGCCTTACAAGAATAGCAATAATAAATAAGGCCTAAATGTAAATTCTTGTAGTAGACAAAATTAACTATTGCTATACACATTTTCTAATATTTCTATAAGTACTTATACTTTGCAAATAAAACTTTGGCTTTGAATAAGCTCTTAGCT